AGGATCTTTTGCCGCTACTGGACAAAGCATTTTTGGGTGCTCGCAAAGATTTGGACCATTGCGCCACGCCGGCTCTATTGCTACGCGCCGCTGGTCTGCCACGTGCCGCTGGTGCCCTTCCGCACTCCGCACTTGTCCATGCCGTAATCTCGGACCTCGTTCCGCAGCTCGTGGCCGAAGGCCACTGGTTCGGCCTCTTCGTGCTTCAGTGCTGGGCGCATTCTCGGTCGGGGCTCGATTCGGCGGCCGTCCCTGGCTGTCCTGTCGCTCTGGCTTCGGGCTCCTAATCGATGACGCGTCGCTGTTGCCACACGAGCACGGAGTCTGTATCATACCAACAGAGGACCCAGTACAGTATGGAAATTGCGATCGTGCAGGCAGGTCAGAGGAGGGACTTCGTGCGGCGGCGCTGGGGTTTCTTCCGCGGTGTGCTTCTCTCGTTCAGGTCCTTCCTTGCCTTGTTGACAGAGAAGCACCCTGCTTTGGTCGCGATGGAGAGCTCCTGGATAGGCAGGAAACTATCTTGCTTGGTGGCGACAAGAACGTCTTGGCAGCATTCTCAATGGCCAGGTGAAGCCGATGTTACGCGCGACCGGGACAGCAGGCTCTTTTGCTGTCTCGGCCGTCTCCAGGCAGGATCTTTGCGAAGCTGCCGACAGCGTCGACGGAGAGTTCTAGGTTCCTTAAAAAAAAACTCAGGAAGAAGAGAGATCGCAGATACAGACGAGACGAAGCGCAAAACCCGGGCATTTGCTCGTCGGTCAGGCAGGGGACCGTCTTGCTCGCTCGCGATATTCAGGACTTGCCAGCATTCTCAGGGAAACAGTGGGGTCTCGGCTCCATGGCCATGCCAAGCCGAGTCCCGGGCTTTGGCTTCTAGCCACGTGAAGCTTTCCTTTCTTTGATTTTGCACTTAGGACACGACAAAGCCGAGGCGGCTTGCAGCGAAGGCCGATGTTGCACGCACACACACACACACACAAGCAAGCGCATCGTTTCCATTCGGATGTTGCCGCGATCTCAGGTCGAGTGCCGTCCCTCAACGGCAGAGACTAGGATTTTAGAGAGGCAGGGATGCTCGTGACTCGTTTCTCTCGTGGCGGAGCACGCGAAGGCAGCAGGGCGAGACTTCTGCAGGGTCTCGGCTCTCTAGCCAGACCAAGCCAAGGTTGCATTGGACGTACATCTTCAGGTAGCGGTAGCACGGCCCGCCGCCATGGCCTCGCGCGGGACATGAAAAATGCATGCCGCCCAGCATCCAGAGACTCGATCTCAGGTGGAGTTCCGTTCCTGAACGGCACAGCAGGCGAGCCTAGAGAGGCGGGGATGCCGACGGCTCCTTTCTTTAGTTTCGGAGCATGCGTGGACAGCAGGGCGAGAGTCTTGCAGGGTCTCGGCTCTCTAGCCAGGCCAAGCCGAGCTTTGTTTTTTTTCTTGATTATATCTTGTTGAAGTAGTGGCTCTGCGGCACATCGCCATGGCTCTTTGCGTGCTTTTAGAAATTCAGAGGGGCGACCGTCCCAGCGATGTGTGCGCGGGGCTGCTGGATGGTTTGGCCGACTGGCTGAAGGCACCGCCAATCCTGGTTAGGGGGCTTCAGCCCATCGAGATCGGCGAGTCGGCCTTCAAGCGCGATCTTGGGCGTGCTCTGGGCACGGCCCCCGTTTTTCTGCAGCTGCGGGATGCCCGACGCGACGATGCCGAAGCAGCGGGTTCCCTCTCCTTGCTGCAGGTGCATTTCGTGCGACCAGCGCTCACTCCGCTCGAATGGGTCCTTACCGTCGACGACTATCTCGAGCGCGGGGACGAGGACGAGGCCCTGTCGGTGCTCATGCATGACGAGGTGCCGGAGCTGGCAGACGAGATCTGGGACGACACGCTGCGCTTCATCTCTCACTATCACTTTTCCGTTCTCATGATGCTGATCATGCGAGGACGGCTTGCCGTCGATCATGATCTCCCGCCGGAAGATTTCTGTTCCTGCCGTGCTCCTCTTCTTTCGATGGCCGCGAACCGGCCTCGCGGTGATTTCGAAGCGCTTTTGGCATTGCGGGCAGATGTAAACAAACCCGACAGTCGCGGTCATACCCCGCTGGTTTATGCGGTCTTTGCCTACTCGCGCGGTTGCACTATGCTGCTCCTGCGGGCAGGCGCTTCGGTCGCGCCGGACACGGGATACTGCCCGCTCCTGTTGTCCGTGGCCAGGGGGCAGTGTCAAATGGTGAATGTTCTGCTACATGCGAGGGCGTGCCCCCATCGGCGTGCCGCAGCGGGCAGCCTTCGCGGGATATCTCCGTATGGTCTGGCGTGTGAATGGAATGACGGAGAGATCATGCGGGCTTTCCGAATGCACGGGCACCATACTGCGGGCCCGCACCCGCCGATCCTGCCTGTTTGCTTTTCCCTGAGTGGTTGCGAGGTTGCCCTCAGTGAAGCCGGAGCCGAACATGCTTTGATCCTAGAGCAGTTCCATCGCATGCCTTCGGTGGGGTTGTTGGTCGCCGAAGAACACAGTGATCGGATTGCCATCACCTACGACTCTTCCGCGTCCTTGCCAACCCATGCACTGGCCCTGCGGCGTGCCTTTTGTAGGCAAGACTACGACTTGGCTGCTAACATCCTGGAGCGTCGACCCTTCCTGATCGAGGAGGCGGAGTATATAGTATGGGGTGACGACGGCCTTCCTCTTGTTTGGGCGGTTAAAAGACGGGAAGTCGGTGCTATTTCTACGCTGCTACAGGCGCGGGCATCTCCTAACATGACGACGCCCGGCCACGCCGCCCCGCTTCTGCTCGCGGCCCGGCATGGGGGAATTGGATCGGTCGCTCTACTTCTCCTGGCTCGAGCAGATGTCAATCACGTCGATGCCGACGGCCTCTCCGCGCTGAGCATAGGGGCGGCGCTCCGCTCCCCCCCTTTGGTCTCGCTCCTGTTGGAGTTCCGCGCTCATCTGAGCACGCGGCCGGAGGTTCTTTTGCCGCTATTGAACAGCACGTTCCAGCGCGATGGCTGCGGCCACGACCATTGTGAAACGTCGGTTCTGCTGCTGCGCGCAGCCGGCGGCGTTGGGCATTCCGACGTGGTCCACAAGGTAATTTCGGAACTCGTTCCGCAACTCCTGGCCGAGGGCAATTGGTCCGCCATCTTCGTGGTTCACTGCTGGGCGCACCTGCAGTTAGGACTCCAATCGACGGTCGCCTCCGGCTGTTGCCCTGCTTCGGCTTCGGGGTCCTAGGTTACAGGGTGTTCCTGTTGCCAGAAGAGCATCGAGGCGCAGTCATTCTGAAAGAAATCCTACGACGAGAAATGAGATCGTGCATGTAGGTTGGAGGAAGAACTTCATTCCACGGCGCCGGCCCTTCTTTCTCGGTCTTTTCATCTCCCGGAGGTCCTTGCCCGATTGCGGGAGACGGACGTTGCCCGTTGCGACGGAGAGCTGATTGGACAGGCAGGGAACCGTTTTGCTTGCATTCGACAAGAACGATTTGCCAGCCTTCTCAGGGAAACACCGGTGTTTCGGCTTCTTGGCCAGGCCAAGCCGAGGTTACCTAGGAACCGAAAGGCAAGCCTTTCTGCCGTTCCGCCTGTCTCGAGCCAGGTTCGATCTTGTCGACGGGGATCGGTACTTTCCTTTCGTCTTGCGGAGCTGCTTTGGCAGGTTACTGAGGTACGAGCGACGCAGTTCGCGTCCTGCGCGCATGAATCCTTGTTTTGAAAGGCAGATGCACAGAAATCGGTCGGCTCGAAAGGGAATGGCATCCTGCGCTGTGTCCCGGGCCTTGGCTTCTAGTCACTTCAAGCTTTCCTGTCTTTGTTTTTTGCACTTAGGACACGACAAAGCCGAGGCGGGCTGCAGCGAAGGCCGATGTTGCACGCACACACACACAAAGAAGCGCGTCGTTTCCGATTCGGATGTTTCCGCGATGTCAGGTCGAGTGCCGTCCCTCAACGGCAGAGACTACGATTTTAGAGAGGCAGGGATGCTCGTGACTCCTTGCTCTTGTGGCGGAGCACGCGAAGGCAGCAGGGCGAGACTTCTGCAGGGCCTCGGCTCTCTAGCCAGACCAAGCCGAAATTTGCACCTGACGTACATCTTCGGGTAGTCTTTGCGCGGCCAGTCGCCATGGCTTTGCACGGGACATCAAAAATACACGTTGCCGAGCATCCCAGCGACCTGCGCGTCGCTTTGCTGGAGGTTGGAGGAAGAAGTTCATCTCACGGCGCCGGCCCTTCTTTCTCGGTCTTTTCATCTCTCGGAGGTCCTTGCCCGATTGCGGGAGACGGACGTTGCCCGTTGCGACGGAGAGCTGATTGGACAGGCAGGGAAGCGTTTTGCTTGCATTCGACAAGAACGATGTGCCAGCCTTCTCAGGGAAACACCGGTGTCTCGGCTTCTTGGCCAGGCCAAGCCGAGGCTACCTAGGAACCGAAAGGCAAGTCTTTCTCCCATTCCGCCTGTCTCGAGCCAGGTTCGATCTTGTCGACGGGGATCGGTACTTTCCTTTCGTCTTGCGGAGCTGCTTTGGCAGGTTACTGAGGTACGAGCGACGCAGTTCGCTTTCTGCGCGCTTCAATCCTTGTTTTGTAAGGCAGATGCACAGAAATCGGTCGGCTCGAAAGGGAATGGCATCCTGCGCTGCGTCCCGGGCCTTGGCTTCTAGCCACTTCAAGCTTTCCTGTCTTTGTTTTTTGCACTTAGGACACGACAAAGCCGAGGCGGGCTGCAGCGAAGGCCGATGTTGCACGCACAAACACACACACACAAAGAAGCGCATCGTTTCCGATTCGGATGTTTCCGCGATGTCAGGTCGAGTGCCGTCCCTCAACGGCAGAGACTACGATTTTAGAGAGGCAGGGATGCTCGCGACTCGTTGCTCTTGTGGCGGAGCACGCGAAGGCAGCAGGGCGAGACTTCTGCAGGGTCTCGGCTCTCTAGCCAGACCAAGCCGAAATTTGCACTTCATGTACATCTTCGGGTAGTCGTAGCGCGGCCAGTCGCCATGGCTTTGCACGGGACATCAGAAATACACGTTGCCGAGCATCCCAGCGACCTGTGTGTCGCTTTGCTGGAGGGTCTGCCCAACTGGCTCGAGGCAGCTCCCATGCTGGTTTTGGGGAGAGACCCTGCCGGGATCGGTGTGCCGGAATTGAAGCGCGATCTAGGGCGCGCTTTCGGCATCGCTCCCGTATTTCTGCAGCTGCGGGAGACTCGACGCGATATCGGCGAAGGGGCGAATTGCCCGCTCTTTTGGCATGTGCGCTTCGTGCGGCCAGCGCTGCTTCCCTTCCAATGGGTCCTTACCGTCAACGTCTATCTCACGCGCGGGGACGAGATCGAGGCCTTGGCAGTGCTTATGCATGACGAGGTGCCGGACTTGGCAGACGACATCTGGGACCACACGTTCTCGACTATCCGACGTCAGCACTTTAAACTTATCATCATGCTGATCCTGCGAGGCCGCCTCGCCGTTGATCATCGGCTATCGGCGGAAGATGCTTCCTTCTGGCGCGCTCCGCTCCTCTCACTAACTGCGGCAGGGCCTCGATGCCATTTCGAAGCGCTTTTGGCACTGCGGGCAGATGTAAACAAACCCGACAGTCGTGGTCATACCCCGCTGGTTTATGCGGTCTTGGCAAACTCACACGCTCGCACTACGCTGCTCCTGCGGGCAGGTGCCATGGTCGCGCCGGACACGGGATACTGCCCGCTCCTGTTGTCCGTGGCCAAGAGGCAGCGTCAAATGGTGCATATCCTGCTACATGCGAGGGCGTGCCCCTATCGGCGCTCTTCAGCAGGCAGCCTTCGCGGACTTTCTCCGCACGGTCTGGCGTACCAATGGGATGACTCAGAGACCATGCGGGCTTTTCGAATCCACGGGCACCATGCCGCCGGCCCGCACCCGGCGATCCTGCCCGTGTCTTTTTCCTTGAGCGGAAACGAAGTTGCCTTGAGTGAAGTCGGAGCCGAACATGCCTCCGTGCTACAGCTGTGCCATCGCATGCCAACGGTGGGGTTATCTGCCGAAGAACACAGTGATCGGGTTGCCATCACTTACAACTCATCCGTGTGCCCGCGGGCCCACGCATCGGCCTTGCAGTGTGCCCTCAGTGGGGGCGACCATGACTTGGCAGCCAACATCCTCGAGCGTCGTCCTGACCTGATCCAGAAGTCGGATTATCGAGCGTGGGGTTTTAACAACCTTCCTCTTTTGTGGGCGGTCGAGCACGGGGAAGCTGGTGCTGTTTGTACGCTGCTACAGGCACGGGCATCTCCGAACGTGACGCGCGGGTCTGCTGCCCCGCTTCTTATTGCGGCTCGACAGGGAGATCTTTCGTTGGCCGCCATGCTCCTCCTAGCACGAGCAGATGTGAATCTTGTCAGTGCCGACGGCCGCTCCGCGCTGAGCATAGGGGCATCCTTCCGCAATCTTCCTCTGGTCTCGCTTCTCTTGGAGTTCCGTGCTCATGTCAGCCCACGCCCCGAGGTTCTCTCGCCGGTATTTCAGAAATCGTTTCTGGGTGGCGGCAGAAGCTTCGATCATTGTGCCGCGGCGGTTCTGCTGCTACGTGCTGCTGGTGCCCTTCCGCACTCCGTTGTCCATGCCGTACTCTCGGAACTCGTTCCGCAGCTCATGGCTGATGGCAACTGGAAAGCGATCTTCGCGATTCAGTGCTGGGCGCAGTCGCAGTTAGGTCTCCAACCGAAGGTTGGCTCCGACCGTTGCTTTGCCCTGGCTTCGGGGTCCTAGGCAACGGTGCGTGGCTGTTGCCGCAGGAGCACGGAGTCCGTGTCACACCGAAAGAGGACCTAGTACGGAAAATGAGATCGTGCATGTAGGCTAGAGGACGAACTCCATGCGACGGGACGGACTCTCTTTCTTGGTGTGCTTATCTCGTTCAGGTCCTTGCCTTGTCGACAGAGACACGCACTTTGCTTGTCGCGATGGAGAGCTTTCGAGGAGGCGGAGAATCGTCTTGCTTTGTGGCGATAAGCATGACGTGCTAGCATTCTCAGGAGAACAGGGGAGTCTCGGCGCCATGCCCAGGCTAACCTGATGCTGCGTATGAAGGGGACAACATGCTTTATCTCTTGCAGTCTGGGCCGTCTCCACGCAGTCAGTCTGCGAAGCTACTGATTTTCTCGATGGAGCTCCTGGACAGGCGGGGAAATGTCTTGCTTGGAGAGACAAGAAGAACTGGCCAGCATTCTCAGGGGAGCAGGGGAGTCTCGTGTCTGCGGCCAGGTCAAGGCGATGTTGAGCCGATACGTGCGTTGCCTCGAATTCAGATTTCTGCCCGTCTCAGGTCGAGCTCCGTCCCTGAACGACAGAGCATACGAGCTCGGAGAGGCGGGGAAGCCGAGGGCTCCTTTTTCTCGTTTCGGAGCATGCGTGGGCGGCAGGGCGAGAGTCTCGCAGGGTCTCGGCTCTCTGGCCAGACCAAGCCGAGGTTGCAAGCGATTTAAATCCCGAGGTGGCTCTCCTGCGCCACGTCGCCATGGCTTCGCCTGGGCCCTTAAAAGTACAGCTAGGGGACCGTCCCAGCGATCTGTGTGCGGGGCTGCTGCACGGCCTAGCCAACTGGCTCGGGGCGACGCCCATCCTCGTTCGGGGGTCAGATCGGGGGCTTCGGCGCGAGAAGGTCTTCATGCGGGAGCTCGGGCGTGTTCTTGGCGTCGCCCCCATCTTCCTGCAGCTGCAGGAAGACGGACGCGACGTCGCGGAAGCAGCGGCTTCGTCTGCGTTTGTGCACGTGCACTTCGTGCAGCCAGCGCTAACTCCGCTGGAATGGGTCGTCACCGTTGACGTCTATCTCGAGCGTGGGGACGAGGACGAGGCCTTGGCAGTGCTCATGCACCACGAGGTGCCGGAGCTAGCAAATGAGATCTGGGATGATACGCTGCGTATCATCGCCCGGCACCACCATTCCGTTCTCATCATGCTGATCATGCGAGGATGCCTTGCCGTCGATCATCGGCTCCCGGTGGAAGATTTCTCTTCCTGGCGTGCTCCGCTTCTGTCGCTGGCCGTGGAACAGCCCAAAGGCGATTTCGAAGCGCTTTTGGCATTGCGGGCGGATGCTAATTTCCCCGACAGTCGTGGTCATACCCCTCTGGCTTATGCCGTCTTGGCCTACTCGCACGGTTGCACCACGCTGCTGTTACGAGCAGGTGCCTCAGTCGCGCCGGACACCGGATATTGCCCACTCCTGTTATCCGTGGCCAAGATGCAGCGTCAAATGGTGCATATTCTGCTACATGCTAGAGCCTGCCCCCATCGCTGCCTTCGCGGGGTTTCTCCACATGGCCTGGCGTGTCAATGGGACGATGCAGAGACCATGCGGGCTTTTCGAATCCATGGGCACCATGCCGCCGGCCCGCACCCGGCGATCCTGCCCGTGTCTTTTTCCTTGAGCGGAAGGGAAGTTGCTTTCAGTGAAGCTGGAGCCGAACATGCTATCATTCTACAGGTTTGCCATCGCATGCCTCCGGTGGGACTATCTGCTCGAGAACAGTGCGATCGGGTTGCCATCACTTACGACTCTTCTGCGTGCGTGGAGACTCACGCGCTTTTTTTGCGGCGTGCCCTTAGCGGGGGCGACTATGACTTGGCTGCCAATGTCCTGGAGCGTCATCCCTTCTTGATCGAGCAGGAGCATGGAGTATGGGGCGAGCACGGCCTTCCTCTTTGTTGGGCGGCCCAGCGACGGGAAGTCGGAGCTGTGTCTACGCTGCTACAGGCGCGGGCATCTCCGAACACGACGGGCCGCCGCCGTGCTGGCCCGCTTCTGCTTGCGGTCCGATTCGAAGATGTCGGATCGGTCGCCACACTTCTCCTGGCAAGAGCAGATGTCAATCGCGTCAGTCCGGAGGGCCGCTCTGCACTGAGCATGGGGGCGGCGCTGCGCTCTCAACCTTTGGTCTCGCTCCTCTTGGAGTTCCGCGCTCATGTGAGCCCATGTCTCGAGGTTCTCTTGCCGCTACTGAACAGCACGTTCCTGCGTGTGGGCGAAGGCCACGACCACTGTGCAACGCCGGTTCTACTGTTGCGCGCGGCTGGTGGTCTTTCGCATCCCCTCCGGGTCCATGCCGCAATGTCGGAACTCGTTCCGAAACTCCTGGCCGATGGCAACTGGTCCGCAATCTTTGTTCTTCAGTGCTGGGCGCAGTCGCAGTTGGGTCTCCAATCGAAGGTCGGTCGCGACCGTCGCCTCGTCCAGGCTTCAGAGTCCTAGGCAACAGCGTGTGGCTGTTGCCACACGATCGCGGAGCCAGTGTCGTATCGAAAGAAGACCTACTGCGGAAAATAAGGTCCTGTGTGCAGGCGTGAGGAGGAACTCCACGCGACGGGCTGGGCTTTCTTCCTTGGTGTCCTTATCTCCGTCGGGTCTTTGCCTCGTTGAGAGAGACAGACTTTGTTCGTCGCGGCACACGCCAAGGAGTACAGCATGCGGATTTACAGGATCTTCCAGGAAACAGCGCCCACCGAGCTTCGGGGCACTCGGGTTTTTTTTTTTTGACTTTCCTAAGAAAGCTGAACGACAAGGCTCTGGTAGCGCCGCCGACAGCCTTGAAAATCAGGCTTCTTCTTTGACCTTCCTAGGAGGTCGACGACCAGCCTCCGGCAGCGTGACACAGTGGAAAGTCGAGCAAACAAGGGAGGCCGCCTCTGCATTCAGCGACTGTGCTTGCGTTCAGCGAGTGTGCAAGTCGTGCCCGTATTTAGCGAGTGTGCAAGTCGAACACCAAAGCTTGGCCCTCTCCGACCCCCATAGGACGTTAGCCGGGTGCAGGGGTGGCTGGATACATTAATTTCCCTTGGGGTTACACAGCAGGTAATGTATCCTGTGGGGGGGGTGTGGGAATCATGGTCGGGGATGGTGATCAACAAACCGTATTGCTTGCTGGCGACTAGAACCACTTGCCAGCATTCGCGGGAGAACCGGGGAGCCTCGACAGGCGGAGGTCGGTCCCTACGCGGCGAAGCCACGCCTCCGAGCAGGCGGGGACTTTTCCTGATCGCTTCGGAGTGGCAGCAGCAGGGGCAACGAGCACCGTCGCGAGGCTTTCGCAGGGTCTCGGCTCTATATGGCCAGACCAAGCCGACGTCGTAAAGGAGAGGTAGATAGTTTTCTAGAGGCGATGGAGTCGGCGCTCTTACACTTGCGCATTGCGCTTGCACTGCGGCGCCGGCAACAAGTCGAGCGCGAGCCGGACGATGCTTTTCGTTGTGCCACGACTGAATATATGATTCTGGAGGATTTCATACAGCTGCCGAGCTGGAGGATGCGGGCAAGCCGACGGTTTCTTTCTCTTGTCTCGGAGGATGTGTGTGCAGCAGGGCGAGTGTTTTGCAGGGTCTCGGCTCTCTAGCCAGGCCGAGCCGAGGTCGCACGTGACTTACATTTGGGGTTTGTGCTCGCGAGGCACATTGCCGCGGAGTTGCAATTGCCTGTAAAAATACAGGATGCTTTCCGCTTTGGCGACGTATGTGCGGGGCCGCTGAACGGTCTCACCAGGCGCGTCGAGGCACAGCCCATCCTGGTTTCGACCGGTGAGACGGCATTCAAGAGAGTTCTCCGGCGCGCTCCGGGCGCCGCTCCCGGCTTTCTGCACTCGCGGGACCCCTTGTGCGATGAGCATCGTCTCCCGGTGGCCGTCGCCGTAGCATCCTGGAGTCAGTGTCATACCGAAAGAAGGCCCATGACGGAAAACGAGGTTCTGCGTGCAGGGGAGAGAAGGAACCGGACGTGACGGGCCGGGTTTTCTTCTTCGGCGCGCTTATTTCGTTCAGGTCCTTGCCTCGTCGACAGAGATGCACTTTGCTGGTCGCGACTGGCAGCTCCTGGACAGGCGGGGAACTGTCTTGCTTGGTGGTGACACAAACCAATTGCCAGCATACGGCGTGCTTAATTCGTTCAGGTCCTTGCCTCGTTGACGGAGATGCACTTTGCTGGTCGCGACTGGCAGCTCCTGGACAGGCGGGGAACTGTCTTGCTTGGTGGTGACATAAACCAATTGCCAGCCTTCGCGGGAGAACCGGGGAGGCCCTCGACGGTCGGAGGTTCGTCCCTGGGCGGCGAAGCCATGCCTGCGGATGGGCGGGGACCCCGCATCGTCGTTTCAGAGTGGCATCAGCAGGGGAAACGAGCACCGTCGCGAGGCTTTAGCAGGGTCTCGGCTCCCTAGCCAGACCAAGCCGACGTCGTAAAGGAGAGGTTCTTAGTTTTCTACAGGCGATGGCTTCGGCATTCCTGCAATTTCACATCGCCCTTGCACTGCGTCGCCAGCAGCAAGTCGAGCGCGAGCTCGACGCTGCTTCTCGTCGTGCCATGACAGAAAGTGATTTTGGAGGATTTCATACAGCTGCCGAGTGGGAGGACGCGGGGCTTCGCATGCGACTCGACCGTCCGACGGGGGCTTCGGCTTCAGGTGCCTCCGGTGCATTGTCACATTTGACCGACGAGGAGCTGTGGGAGGAGATCCGGACAAGCATCCATCGCCTCGAGACCCTGGCAGCACCCAATCGGCTCGAGACCCCGGCGGCGCCCGATCTCGCTTCGGGGCTTTCCGAGATCGCCAGCGACATCAGCAAAGGCTCCAATGCCGTTGCCGACTCGGGTGCTTCTCGCACCGCCCTCGCCGACGTGGTCAGCGAAGAGGAAGTTGAGCTGGAACCGACAGAAGCCGCTGCCGAGGCTACTGCTTTAGGCGAAAGCCCGAGGGGTCGCCGGAGCACAGCATCTCGTA